GGATAACTTACGTGTTGTCTTGGTGTGGGAGAGAGACAGAGTGTGTGTGTGTGTGTGTGTGTGTGTGTGTGTGTGTGTGTGTGTGTGTGTGTGTGTGTGTGTGTGTGTGTGTGTGTGTGTGTGTGTGTGTGTGTGTGTGTGTGTGTGTGTGTGTGTGTGTCTGCTCTTTAACCTCTTCATGACGGGATCAGCATTAATGATTCATCATCTGATCACAGGAACAATCCAGATTCACAAACCTTCATGAGAAACAGGGCAACTGCTGTGAAGTGTGTGATAAGTGTGTGGTGAGTGTGTGATGAGTGTGTAATGAGTGTGTGGTGAGTGTGTGATGAGTGTGTGGTGAGTGTGTGGTGAGTGTGTGATGAGTGTGTGGTGAGTGTGTAATGAGTGTGTGATGAGTGTGTGGTGAGTGTGTAATGAGTGTGTGGTGAGTGTGTGATGAGTGTGTGATGAGTGTGTGGTGAGTGTGTGATGAGTGTGTGGTGAGTGTGTAATGAGTGTGTGATGAGTGTGTGATGAGTGTGTGATGAGTGTGTAATGAGTGTGTGGTGAGTGTGTGATGAGTGTGTGGTGAGTGTGTAATGAGTGTGTAATGAGTGTGTGGTGAGTGTGTGATGAGTGTGTGGTGAGTGTGTGATGAGTGTGTGATGAGTGTGTAATGAGTGTGTGGTGAGTGTGTGATGAGTGTGTGATGAGTGTGTAATGAGTGTGTGGTGAGTGTGTGATGAGTGTGTGGTGAGTGTGTAATGAGTGTGTGGTGAGTGTGTGATGAGTGTGTGATGAGTGTGTGATGAGTGTGTGGTGAGTGTGTAATGAGTGTGTGATGAGTGTGTTGTGAGTGTGTGGTGAGTGTGTGGTGAGTGTGTGATGAGTGTGTGATGAGTGTGTGATGAGTGTGTAATGAGTGTGTGATGAGTGTGTGATGAGTGTGTGGTGAGTGTGTAATGAGTGTGTGATGAGTGTGTGGTGAGTGTGTAATGAGTGTGTGGTGAGTGTGTGATGAGTGTGTGATGAGTGTGTGATGAGTGTGTGATGAGTGTGTAATGAGTGTGTGATGAGTGTGTGATGAGTGTGTGATGAGTGTGTGGTGAGTGTGTGATGAGTGTGTAATGAGTGTGTAATGAGTGTGTGATGAGTGTGTGGTGAGTGTGTGGTGAGTGTGTAATGAGTGTGTGGTGAGTGTGTGATGAGTGTGTGATGAGTGTGTGATGAGTGTGTGGTGAGTGTGTGATGAGTGTGTAATGAGTGTGTGGTGAGTGTGTAATGAGTGTGTAATGAGTGTGTGGTGAGTGTGTGATGAGTGTGTGGTGAGTGTGTAATGAGTGTGTGATGAGTGTGTGGTGAGTGTGTGATGAGTGTGTAATGAGTGTGTAATGAGTGTGTGGTGAGTGTGTGATGAGTGTGTGGTGAGTGTGTAATGAGTGTGTGATGAGTGTGTAATGAGTGTGTGGTGAGTGTGTGATGAGTGTGTGATGAGTGTGTGATGAGTGTGTGATGAGTGTGTGGTGAGTGTGTAATGAGTGTGTGGTGAGTGTGTGATGATGTGTGGTGAGTGTGTGATGAGTGTGTGGTGAGTGTGTAATGAGTGTGTGTGAGTGTGTGATGAGTGTGTGATGAGTGTGTGATGAGTGTGTAATGAGTGTGTAATGAGTGTGTGATTAGTGTGTGGTGAGTGTGTAATGAGTGTGTGATGAGTGTGTGGTGAGTGTGTGATGAGTGTGTGATGAGTGTTGTGATGAGTGTGTGGTGAGTGTGTGGTGAGTGTGTGGTGAGTGTGTAATGAGTGTGTGATTAGTGTGTGGTGAGTGTGTAATGAGTGTGTGATGAGTGTGTGATGAGTGTGTGATGAGTGTGTGATGAGTGTGTGGTGAGTGTGTGGTGAGTGTTTGATGAGTGTGTGATGAGTGTGTGTGAGTGTGTGGTGAGTGTGTGATGAGTGTGTGGTGAGTGTGTGATGAGTGTGTGATGAGTGTGTGGTGAGTGTGTGGTGAGTGTGTAATGAGTGTGTGATGAGTGTGTGATGAGTGTGTGATGAGTGTGTGGTGAGTGTGTGATGAGTGTGTGATGAGTGTGTGTGAGTGTGTGATGAGTGTGGTGATGAGTGTGTGATGAGTGTGTGGTGAGTGTGTGGTGAGTGTGTGTATGAGTGTTGTGATGAGTGTGTGATGAGTGTGTGATGAGTGTGTGATGAGTGTGTGGTGTTTGAGTGTGTGGTGAGTGTGTGATGAGTGTGTGATGAGTGTGTGATGAGTGTGTGGTGAGTGTGTGAGGAGTGTGTAATGAGTGTGTGATGAGTGTTGTAATGAGTGTGTAATGAGTGTGTGGTGAGTGTGTGATGAGTGTGTGATGAGTGTGTGATGAGTGTGTGATGAGTGTGTAATGAGTGTGTGATGAGTGTGTGATGAGTGTGTGATGAGTGTGTGGTGAGTGTGTGATGATTGTGTAATGAGTGTGTAATGAGTGTGTGATGAGTGTGTGATGAGTGTGTGATGAGTGT